TACACGTGCGTTGCATGTGTGTTCCATATCAATCAATACAAAATAATATATAATATATTATTAAAACTTTTTTGCATTGACTGACACTAATTTTAAAGGAAAAAATTAATCAAAATGATTGAGGTTGATCCTGTTCAATCGACTTGATTGTTGAAAGCAAAAAATTAGGTATCTTCTAAATTTGCAACGTTGAACATAAAAATTCACAGCTTTTCCTATCATAAATTTAAGGGAGTAGACGACAAAACAAATGAATTTTCCTATTGGTTATGATCGAACTTTTTCAGGTTGCCTACGTATGCTGAAACAGGAATCATGTCCGCATAAGTTGATGATATGGTGAAAAAATAAAATGGCATAACTGATGTGATATGACTGAACCTGACTCAGGCTGCCTACGTATCCCCGAGTAAAAATTTCGAATCAACTCCGGGCAACTTGAGATCCGATACTAACATACATACAAGTTCAAAATTATTATGCGCACCTATTAGAATCTTCAGAACCGATTCCAAGACATGTATAGGAATAAGAAGATTAATTAGACGACTATTTATGTATAAGATCAACTTTTACTTCTTTGATGACCAACATATAGTTCAAATTTGATAATCAGTACATTAAAATATCATAAAGCTTATAATTAATTAATTTTTCCTCCTACTAATTCAGTCCCAAAAAATTGGTCTGCCTTTGAGTTTTTTTGGTAGTCAAACTATTGTCCAAATATGACAACCAGTACATTAAAATTTTAAATCTTATGTAACTACCCTATATAGTCAAATGAACGAAATAAAACGTTATGAAATTATTAAAGCATCCGTAAAAAGTAATTGGAAAAGAAATAAACATACACAATTTAATACTTGCGGATGAATTTGCTGTGTTGGGATGATGATCAGATAAGCAAAATAAAGAAGAATGTGCTTTCATGGAAAGAATTTTTTCCATTGACAATGATTTGGCAGAGAAGAATTAGTTAAGCGAGTTCATGTCTTCTCATGATTTAACAAATAAATAGAGGAAAAAAGGCTAACATACATGAATACATAATTATTATTTTGAAGCTGAAAAAAAATAAATTTTGAATGAATTAAACATTTTAATGATTGAGATAAAATATACATTTATAATACAGAATTGAAAGATGAAAATAATTTTAAGATATTATATAAGCTACATGAATTGAATTCCTCAGCCTTAAAGGAATTAGCTTTAAAAACATGAAACCTATATATACAATAAAAACGTCACAATAATAAGGAATTGAACAGCTGCACGAGTTATTGATTTCATCTTTTACTTTTGTATCTGTACTATTTATTTACCATTTATTGGAGACTAAATTTATTGTTTCGTACAATAATTACATAAGTAGTCTTCAATTACAAGGCAAAATATATAGTCATTCCGTTTTGATAACGTACAATGGACGTATATTTCGTGCCAATCAATATAACCATTTTGAATATCACAACAATATTAACATATGTGAGATATAAATAATATTGAAAGTGTAAATGCAAGATCAAAATATAAAAGATGATTGTTGTACATCTAAACATATCTAGCATTTTATATTCTGTATCTCCGGTTTGTCATTTCATAATACTACATTTTTAGATATCTTCAAATCAAACACATAGAAGCGATATGGTGAGAAAGAATAATTTTAGGATTCTAGATTTTACTACAAATGAATAGTTCAGACAAATTGGGTTGAAAAGTCCATTACATATCCATATTTGTCGCGCAAAAGGATTCCAATTCGAAGAAAAAAGGTTGAATTGCAATCTTTTGCATCCAAGCGCTTTTACATTTTGCATATTAATATTGAAAGGACTATTTTGATTTTATTTAATAGGATATACTAATTCATCAATAGTACAAAAATACATTTAGTACAATATGTATATCCAACAATATTTTGGAGTACCAAAATAATCAATAATATACAGGAAAGATTACTTTACCAATCCAAACACGGAAATAATAGTACTACTTTTTCTCTATCTGCATGTGCTTCCTCTCTAATTATAGTAAATCCAAAATAGAGATATTCAAAAAAGCTAATGATGGATGATGGAACATGCTTAAATTTTCCTCGACAATGATATATAAAGACCGTTGCATGTCTTAAAACTAATGTTGTTCTAGACTTCTAATGATCTAGCAAGAAGAGAGGGTAGCGGTAACGAATATGACTGCTATTCTCATTTCTGAATCCAACATCCAACAGCTACTTTATGTACTTCGCCCATCTCTATGTCTTTTCTTCTTTTTTACAAACTTCCCTTCGAGGAAAAGGAAAGGAAAGGAAAGAAAAATAAAAATAAAAATGGAAGATTAATAAAAAATCTGCTAAGAAGCATCCCATACATTAGAGTCCATAAAGATGGAGGGGAAGACTTGAGGGAAATGGAAACCTTTCTTGCCTTCTTATAGTTCTTCCTTGGTTTACGTTCCTTGAGCTACCATTTCACTCATCTAATTAATTGAATTAGTCTAATTAACTATTCAATGCAACTCTTCAAAATTCTTTAGATTGTTTGTGGCAACAAAGAGATTGGCTAACGTACGTGTCGTTAATGTACTCATTCAATTCACTGGAATGCAACTCATCCCTTTCTTCAGACATTTAGTAGCAATTAAGAGATAGGCTAATAAGTTTGGTTAAATGTACTAATTTAGTTCACTGGTTTGTGAAGAATAATTGAGTCAAATCTCATCAAATGTGATTCAATGGAGCTGCAATCCCAATAGTTCTCAGATGTTAGTTCAGTGTTGAACTTCTTAGCAAAAACTTTAATAATATTCTTGATCTTTGCAGGAACCTTTTTGATTCATTTGACACAAGCAAGCAAGGCCGAGTGACTCTTGATATCAACCAATTTATCTACTGCAGTGAGTCAATTCATTATTTTCTTGTCTTTGTGATACTGCCTTTCATTTTGCATTCCGCCAATTGGTATCTGTAGTAAAGATGGGAGGGATTCCCATCGAAAGTCCATTCAGAGGTTCTTCAGAAAAGGTGGCTTCTGGTAGCATTTACTCATCCTCTCTGAGTGGTGAACCCATAAACACCACTTATTGTCTGTGCTGGAAGTCTTCCCATTTAATAGTCTGCTTGAAGCCACAAAATGGTAAAGCTCACTTGTTACTGAAGGTTGTGTTATTCATTCGGATGACCGTAGTTATCTGGATGTCTGCCCTTCCAAACTGTTAGGCTTGTCTCGCATGCCAATGGAGTTAATCACCATCCCTATCCTTGACGGATATGTATGATGCTCTTTTCCTGTTGGCATGCAAGGAGAAGAAACAATAGAACGGAAATGATTCCTTTAGGGATTTGGGAAATGTTCAACATTTACCTTTAGTAATGGGGTGAGATTATTGAAATAAATATAAGACTTATATAACCCTGTTTGCATCTAACCCACCGGTATCAGTGGTTGTCATCCATTTTTGGTCAAGATTTTTGGTTGCTTTATGAATACAATGTAGCATGCTTCGTTTTATAACAGCAGTCTTTTTCCCTTCCTCTTTTCTTATTTGCAGCTGCTAATTGTAGAATCTAAGGCCGTCATCTCACTATCCAGTTTCCAGTTGCTGAGTATGACCTTAGCCTCGCTGCTATTAGCATTGGTGACTTGAAAGTAAAGTGCTTTGTGCGATTTTGTGTAAAATGCAATGATTTAAGAAGAGGCTAGAGCAACCGGTGTATGGTTGGAGTACCAAGGATTCATTTCGTTCGTGCACAAGTTATCCCAAGTTATACCAGGATTGTAATGCATGGATTGTTAAAGGTGTATGTAGTATTATAGGGTGAATGATTATCACTAGATTATTGTATTTGTTTAGACATTCAGTTCGTCGCATTAAAATATTGATATACAATGTACATTTAAAACTTGTACCTTAGGGCATATTAATTGCTTTATGAAACTTGTTGGCTTTATTGTTGTGTGAATAAAATAATATTTAGAATCATCAATTTTTAGTTTTGTCAAACAAGCAATATTTTTAAGATGAAAATTACAGGGAGTTATACTATAATATGAGACAAAAAATAGAAGTTAGTTAACAAATCATGCACTTCTTTTTTGTTTTTCTTTGTCAAGATTCTTTAGTGATTATAGAATCAATAATATAAACACTTTCAAAAAGCAAATGAAACATAATTAAAGATGATTAACTAAACAAGTAATAGTTTCAAGTGGCATCGTGTAATCTAATACATGTGTTGCTGATAAACCTCTTGTTATTTTGCGTTGAATTTAATATAGTTAATTGGTTGATGAATAGTAAGTAATGCAAGGATTAGCAATAAAGAGATTAACATCTCAATCGGACATAGTATTACTAATGCTGAATTTAATATAGTCAATAAATCATCTAACCAAACGACTCTGCATATCGGAAAAAGCAAAGCAGATTTGCTGTAATTGCTGATTTGCTCTCGTAGGGAAACAGCGTCCAGTATGTTGAAGCATGACTCTAGCATGTAAATAGAAAATGGGTGATTTAAGTGATTCTTTGGTAGCAAAACATGGCATTTCAGGAAGAGAAATTTAAACAGCACTATATAACCGCCTAACCATTTTTATTTTGGACACAACGTGCGCTCTCTCTCTCTCCCTCTCTCCCTTCAAGGATCAGTTGGCGATAACCTGAACATTAGCCTCAAATCCGGTGAGATTGTGACAAATAAGAAATGGAAGTGTCTGTTCTGATATCATCTCCATCTTTATCTCCCTAACTTTCACAATCATTAAGGACAAAAACCCATTATTGGAACAGGAAGCAATTGGTTTAATACATAAAGGTCATCCGGCCAAGAGTTGGGAAGATAAATCTTGAATGGAGAAATAGATCTTCTTACTTCTTTCTTAACATGTTTATCATCCGTAGGCTAACATAGAACTAAGAGGTTGAAAGTATAAATTTCCCGTCATATTGACTCAGTACTCTTCCGGGGTGGGGTAGGGAGAACCAAAAAGATTCCAGAAGCCAATTAGGAAAGCTCTCCAATGAATGTACTCATACAGCAGCTCACCTCCCTAGCAAAGGAGATTGCAAATTGAATATTCTGCCGTTCCTTATTCGATTTATACTTCATTTGTTTTACATATTTGTTAAAAACCAAATTATTATCCCTAGACACAGATAAATTAGAAAGGGGATTCAGAATAACAGCATGAGCTGACAGAATGTTTCAGAATGTGCAGCTCAAGCTGTGGATTATACTACTGAGCGCAATTCTCCTGTTTGTAGAGCAAACCTCCGGTGCTGCGAGAGAACAGAAGGGATTTTGACTGCTTGTATTCTTGAAGTCAAGTCATTTCCACAGGATCCTTTGTAATCCTTAGCTGCATTTAGTACCGTCTGGAAAATTTGCAGAGGGTCACCATGGCTGACCACCAGCACTGTGCATCTGCAATTGCAGTGTCCCAGACCACAATCGTTACTTATAAGTCCATCAGATATCATGAAATTGCAATTAAAGGCTTTTGGTCTCCTCATTAGTGGGAATATGTGAAACACTAGGAGAATCTTGAATTTAAGCATGAACTATGATTCTACTGCCATGCAAAATTTCCTTCACTTGTTAAAAAGAATAAGCAAACCTCATTAGCACTAAAAAATTTCCTGCTCTACATGATTAATGTTGGGAGTTAAAAGCACAACATTACCCTCGAAATTGTGACTCCATGTTAATCAATGCACTTGTGAGTCTAGACACAACATCTGCAACACTTTCTCCACCTTCAGGCTGCATGAATGGATCCTTCTCATCTAGAGCCCATATATCTGGATACTGAAATCAGAAATAATTAATCAGTCCCAGAGCCACAACCAAGTGCAAATGCTTATAAATGTTGAGGATCCACTTGATTTTGAAATGCAGAGAACAAATAACAACTCACTTTATCATGAGACTTAAGTTCATATGAAGGACCAAAGAAGCGCTCCCGAAGATCTTCTAGAACCTGTTATAACAAAATTGTCAGAACTCAGAGTTTATCAGCAGAATCTGCTCGTCTTAAAGCCAAAATCATAAAATACCAATCAATCAATTGTTTTAGCTTAGAAACATCTCATCATGACAGGAAAGGCAGGGGTACCTTATATAACACTCAAAAAGCTTTTTTAGGCTTATTGTTGAGTGGTTCGAATGCATCAGGCAAAAATGACATAAAAAATGAAAAGTTATGCAGCTAAATCAAATTCATCACCAGAAGGAAAAGTACATAGCAAGTCAGTTTAAGCATATAAATCTACAAATGTGCCAAAAGGAAGATACGATACCAGGTGGAATAGAGATATAGCCCGAAAACAAGATATAGCCCAAACAGTTCATCTTTGCTATGTACATGAGCATTCCTCAACTGAATGGCTTATATCAATAGGACAAAATGAGATTTCAGCCTATGAAATGACAATCCCTTTTGACTTTATTGCTAAAGGTCCTTGCGACTTTTACTCTCTATTCATGTCACGGGTTCTAATAACAGTGATCAGAGCTTTATGAATTGGTTATCTCAAGTACCTCTGCAAACAAAATTACCATGATAACACTTAGACACAACCTTTTTTTTTCATTTACTAATTTATTAACAAGCCAAAAATCACTTAAATACAACCTTGCAACAAAATAAGCAAAAGAGGTTACAAGAGGGCCTATATGTCCCTGTGACGGATAGATAAGACTTACCATACACTGCGGTCCTTCAAAAGAAATATCTAGAACTGATGCAACCACTTGTGCCGTATGAGTGGTCCTCGAGAAGGGAGAGTAGCAGATTCGAACATTTTCAAGTGGTACTTTATCTTCTTTGAGTACCTGTTATCAGGAAACAGATTGCCTGTAAACACCATTAAGAACTAAGCTTATAGAGAAGAGATAGACCCTTTTTAGCTCAAAAAAGAGCAATTAATATGCAATTACTCAGAATCAGGAACGATATGACAGTCTCTCTTGCCTATCTTCAACTGAAAGGCAGCAAACAGAAATAATATATCAAGGTGCTAATCATCGGGAGACTCTGTTAGTAGCCATAGAGTATGGAGATAAACTGGCTGTTTCAACTCTAGGTCTCCAGGGAAACATGATTTCACAACTGGAGAAAGCATTGAGTTTGACAAAAGGTGAGCGTCCACATGATATTGTTTAAGGGGATAGAAACCTATACATGTTCTTTCAGAAAACACTTCTCTCTTCCTCCTCTGCTGCTAAGACGCTTTTGGTTAGAACTTTTTTTTTTTGCTTATGTGAACCATGTTATCGCTGAAGATAGAATTCATTCATTTACTTGTAATGAACACTCGCTTGGTAATACCAGTTCACTTTTCTCTGTGATTCTTAGATTTTTCTTTCAACCACTACATCCACTTCAACTTGATCCAAGATTTGACACTGCAAAAGAAACAGATTGTTCACATGTGACCTGAGTTTCCAGTTGTTTAACATGTCACCATCTCCTTATACTCATTATACTATCTAACTTGGATGAGGAAGTGTTGCTAACTTCAAAACTATGACATCACAATGATTGTTTTCATAAAAGAAAAATGGACATGGATATAAATTCCAAACCTTTTAGTACAGAGGCATTGTAAAATCCCAAGGGATTTCACTGGAATATAATAAGTTTTGGAGCATAAAAAAGAGATAGGTGATAGGATTTCAGGACATACATAATCAAATGTTCAAAAATAACTAGGGAAGCAATGGCGGACAGCAATTATGGTTCACGTAACTCCATATCTAGATAGGTTGAACATCTGAATCATGAAATGTCTGCCAAGGACTACTTTGGGAAACCAAAAATTGAGAATTCAACAGGAATACCAACCTTTAGGAATGACTCTCCAGCCAATTCTGCCTGTTTGATTCCTTCAGGAGCCAACTTATATTGTTCAAGTTTTCCATTTTCCTGTAAAGATAATGGCTCTTTTCAGTAATTTAGATTGCCAAGAAAAATATAGTAACAAGGGAAAAAAAATCATTTCAGCCAACTCTCAAACAGTCAAATGTTGTATTGTTCCAACTTTTAAAGGTCTGTGCATTTCTCGCTGCTAGATAAACCATCTATCCCAATTAATGTTAGTTGATTGAACTGTGGTACAAATAGAAAGAAGGCCGGTCTGTCTTATTATTTGGAACTAAGTGATTGATGCGATCACGCTGTGCAATGTGTCAATTACTTAGAGCAAGTATTCCAATCTAAGTAGAGTGCCATGGGGCAGGCAGAGGAAGTTGATGGGTTAGTGGAACTGAGTGAGAGAGGAAGTTGCTTTTTTTTTTTTTTTTTTTAAATTATGTATTCAAAAGCTGCAAACTTTACCAGTTGTTAGGGCAAACCATGGACTACCAAATGAATATCAAATGTGCAATGGCATTTAGTCAAAGTTGGTCACTTTATAAGGAAAATTCAAAAAAGGCAAGCAGAAAGCAAGCTCAGTCCTTTAGAACACTAGCTAAAATGTACTGTTAACTGTAAAAAAAAACCTTATTAAAGAAGATACTCCAGTAAAGAGAACTAACCCAAACTAAAATTTTCATTTTGTAGCCGATTAACTGACAGATAAACATTAAAGAATAGTATCAGGATCGAAATAACACAGGAAGTGGAAAGTTGTTTTAGCATATAATGAAGAAGGGAAAATGATGATCCAACAGAGACGTAGTGAGAGAGCAGCAGAAAAAAACCATGGAGGAAACAATGAGGCCCATTTCGTTAGGAATGCTTTTGCCATGCCTCAGCACCCAATATCTGTTCCCCACAAACCTAACGCCACCTTCTCCTGCCATTCTTTAACTCTCCACTCTTCTGTGCTGTTCCTTTATTCGCTACGCATGTCAGCCAATCCGGGGCCGTAGTTATAGGCTGCTCCACGATGTCGTTTTCCTTTTTTTTAATTATTTAACCAGTATCCGTACCCGTGCGTTGCGCGGAAAATAATAATATAATTCTTGTTAAGAAAATATATCTTGGAAAAGACGGTAGATACAAAAAGCATGAAAATGCTATTATTTTTTGGAACATATTAATGTAATGGATGTTCGTATAATAAAGTAGTAAGTAAACTCAATAAAGAAACATACAATTATTTCTTGAAGTCCAATAATGTTCTTTATAGCCTTAATAAAGCAAGTCAAGTATACCCAGAGGTGGATCCAGGATTTAAACCCTATGGGTTCAACTTTTAAATTTTTTAGTATTGAACCCATTATATTTTTAAAAGTTATGGTTCATATTTATTATTTTTGCAATTTTAATAAATTTTTACTCTACGTCGAAAGTTATGGGTTCAATTGAACCCATCGAGTATGCCCCACATACGCCCCTATGTATACCAGCTAGATTGCCACAAACAAAGGTCTCTCATGCCTTGAAAATTCAGAAATACGACAAAGCCATAGTATTTTAAGATAGAAAAATTAGTTACGGAAACACAATTATTCCCATTTGCATAACCTTGACATCCATAATGTACGCGCACTCTGATAACAACTTCAATTCTACTAATACTCATCTTAATGTTTGTTATGCAAACTTATGGCCTTACGTTTATTTAATGATTTAAAAGCTAAGACCAAAGGCAAAATGTTTCATTATTCATACACACAGCAAAATTCTAATTATTCTTCTTTAAAAAAAGTATTGGTACAGTAAAATTTTAGTTATTTTGAACTCGATGAAATGGAGAGGCTCATTCTTTATTTTCTAGCACCGACGATTATTAATTCATTTGTTTTGTACAGATCTTCGAGATCATTTATTCTCAAATATCATTACACATGTGTGTGCGTGTGTGGATTTATTTAGCCCAAAAAAAATAAGTTAGAATGTCGGGAGCTAAATGGTTATGCCATATTTTCCAGTTTGAGAAAATAGGGCATTCGATAAGATTTGAACCTGAACCAACGGCACAAATATAAATTGGGCACCAACATAAAATTTTAAGTATTAAATCTTCTGCTGACATAATAATATTAATGTGGTATAATTGCCTATTACTCGACTTGTCTATATTTTACTTTAGAACCCAGGAGTTTAGTTTTCTTTCTATTAAATTGTAAATGTTGTTAAAGTAATAAAATTCACTATTAGAGTTGATTTATAATGTTGTTCACGTTACAAAATCCACATACAGCCACTATATATTCCGATATCTTATGTGCAAATTAGAAATAATAGATGCTACTAAACAATCAAATTTTTGGTAATTGAGAGAGACTATTTTCTTTATCTTTCGTATTAGCCATCTTTATGAATTTCATATTTACCTATCGTTGAAGGTTTTATTGACACTAATTGACAAAAAGTAACAAAAGAAAACTGAAAAGTGGTTTTTTTTAGTAAGGGGGGGGGGAGGGTGTGGAGGGAGGGGAGTTTGTGGGGCAGCACGCAGCAGTCATTTTTTATTTTACCGACACTTTTCTCTGTCTGTACCATCCCACCATTTTCTTTTTCTTCTTCTTCCTATCTCCATGAATTAATTTCTCAAGACTTCAACAGTAAGTCCCCTTTCTCTGATCTATACTCATATGTTTTAGTAATTACCTTGTATTTCAGTTTCCCTTTTTAAAACTACTTTGCTCTTTATGCTATACTTTGTTCAGTTCATTGAACCGTTTTATCTGATTTAAATGCAAAATTTGCATCTGAAAATGGTCAATAAAGACTAAAAATTCAATGTTTGATGGATTAAATCAAAAGGGTTTTATTAAAAAGTCAATCTTGATGGGTTAAATCAAAAGGGTCAGATTAAAACTCAATCTTGATGAGTTAAATCAAAAGGGGTTATGTCATTTTGTGTATAGATGAAAAGGGTAAGATTAAAAACTCAATGTTGATGGGATTGGAACTTAGTTGTAGAAATATGGACTTCATCTGAAATTCAGTCAACATGAGTATACTGAAATTATTTTGATATTTTGTTATTTGTTGAAATGAAATTGAGATTGAGAATTTGTCCAAATTTGGATCGTCTCAAGATATAATAATTATATAGGGTAAAAACACTACATGATTTTTTCCATATGTATAGGCGTTGGATAGAGTTACCCGGTACCTGTGCTGGTGGGAGATAGAAAGTACCCGGTGGAATAGTCGAGGTACGCGAGCTAGCTCGGACACCACCGTCGTAAGAAAAATTATATAAAGGGTAGAGGAAAGGGGAAGGTTGATTAGGCTTACAGCGGTAGTACCAAAATGTAGGAAATTAAATGTTCAAGTTAGGGTATTTGAGTTAGTTTCTGGAAATTTGCATTTTGAAATTGCTATTGATGTTTGTAAAATGCAAATCTTCTTTTTCGTTGGTTTGAAGTTTGTAAATTTTTCGTCATAGCACCTTGGTTATTTGCCAAATAGTCTAAATTTTAGGAGCTTTACTGCACAATGAAGTAGTAACTTGGTGGGTCAAGGTGAGACAAAAAGTGTAAAACAACAATAACAAATCCTGTGTAATCCCACAACTCCACAAGTGGTGAGACAAAAAGTGTAAGGTACAAATAAATACTCGTTTAAGGCTGTTGCTTCAGCTTCAGTAGGTTAAGCTCTGAAATCTTTATGTATGCTTAGATGAAATGGCTTAATAAGAAAGCTAAACCACAGAAAGATAAATACTCTATTGTGACAGTGGATCAAATGCTGAAGAGGGAATTGAGAGTCGAAAACAATGGGGCCAGGCACCATCTAAATTTTGATGGAAGAAGGAGAATAATATAATTGTTTAATTCAATTATTTTAGTTAGCGCGTTGCTCCAAATGGATATTAATGTGTTTGAGAAAAACTTATCGTCTTGGCTGATGTTGTTATGACTTTAGAACTCATTGGATTCAAGACCATTTCCTTGACTGCAAAAAAGCTCTATTCATATAGGTCAACTTTTGATAAACTGAGGCTAAACTGTTCAAGACTATGATTAACTTTAAATTTTATGTTCTGCTGCAGTGACTGTATATGTGTTTGACTGTACAAAATGTTCGACTGCGGTTCCAAGTCCCAATATCTGGGGGGACAGCGGGAGAAGTTTGTAAGGACTGAAATTTAATTCTCCTGAAGGTTGTTAATTTGCTTTTCCTTTCACTTTATTTTCCTTTATCTCATCTTCTGAAGTTAAGTATCTTTTCGTTTACTTGATTATCTTTTACCAGCTATAATATTGCTTCGTAATCTGTGTATAGGTTCGGTATTCTTATATGTGAGTAATTGACTACAGAACAGTCTAGTTTAAGAAATACCCAAAAACCAGATGTGATTATGATTTGTAGCAGAGATTATTGACAAAGAAAACTCATAACAACACTCAAAATCAAGTCAAATTCTAACTTTCCCCTGTAAAATTTAGTGGCTTGATGAATTTCCTTGAAAAGTTTGATCTGATGAGTACATAAGTAACCTATTACTATAGTTTTTGTTGATTAATTGAGAGAGTGTTGCCTATTGCGATATAGTTGAAAGCCCCTTAAGATTATGTTTGAATTAGTATGATGTAGTCATTCTACTTAAATATTTTTTTCTTATTTGTCTTGAACAATACAAATTTTATTTGTTCCTATTCAAGTCTTTACTATACAATGATACAATCTTCAAAGCACCATTTTCCTTCTTGCATTGTGAATGACTTACCACTACTGTAAATTTGGTTCGAAACAAACTGTAATCCTTCTTCAAGCTACCATGGTGTGCTTCAAGATCAGAAAAATTTATATACATACATTTAGATTGCAGGTTTTAGAAAGGATCCAAATGCCAAAGTTCTTTGAATGAGCGTTAATTCTGCAGTGACTAATGCTTTCCCGCTAATGAGGCAGTCCCTTGACTCTTCGTTTCACCTTTCAGAATACTTGACGAATGAGGCATTGAATGTTCTCCAAACTATAACCACATCATGAGGTCTTATTGTCATATCCTCATCCTCCTCAGAGTCATTGTCCTGAAAGAAGAAGTCCAGCAGTGAGCCAAAAAAGAAGGAACGGGGAAAAAGAAAGTACAAAGAACACAGAAGAGTTGTATTTTTTCACATTAAATTAATTAAATATAGTCTGCACATGCTATATATACTTTTCTTTTACTTAAATGATGACTACCGATTCAACTATCTACTATCTTTAGAACCCAAAGGCAAGTAAAAATCAACAAAGAAAAGAAGAACTTTAATCTATGAGATAGTGATACACTTTAGGAATTGAATGCCACTACTAACGTCACAAATTTTTTTGGAAACTAAATTTCAGGATTGTGGAAAATTAGTGCATAAACACAACAGAGAAGGAGGACATTAAAAATAAGTGAAATTATTGAGCGAATATGTTACCCTTGCATCTTGTAAGATCAATTGTATGAAATATGATATTTTAGGCTTGAAGCGATCCGGAATTTCCCATAACTTTCAAATTCCATTGCCTCGAGTTGCTTGAAATTGTCGGATTTCATGAACTGATGTAGCCATCTTTGCAAATTTAAAATAAGAGAAACCACATACTATTGTTGAATCAACTTGGGGAATACTATTGTTAACAGAGAATAGGAATAGAAAGGGTAAGAAGAAACTACATAAAGCGTTATCTGCCATAGATTTAAAGCAGTTATGGTTGCCGTAGATAAAAAGCAGTTACGGAGTTAGGTTTCTGATTGTTGATGAAGCCCACGTTTGGGATCGTGGGGGTTTTTTTTCTTCTTTTTTCCCTGTTTTATTGGACAAATTTGAAATTCTAACTATTTAGGTATATATTAATAACTTAAGAAAAGGCCTAATCCCAACGTGAAGATAAAAAGAAGGCCTAATCCCAACCTGACGTGAGAGGAATTAATTATTATTTTTATTACCTAGATTTAATAAATAAATTCCAAAATA